GGAAATTTGGCTGATAAGATCTTCTTGCCGGTCAGAAGCTTGTCCTTAGGGCCAGGTGATGAAATGATACGTGAAAGTAGTAATGTCAAGTGTCACCAGGGGATTAGCACAGAGCAACCCTGAGCATGCATGTATGCACCCTCATGCTCCTAATCAAACACACAGTGGGCAGTGGGCCTCCTGTTCTACTTCCAAGGAAACTCTGCCTGCCCCGTTCCACTTCTAAGAAATGTTTTCCTCACCCTAATCATGTGGTTTGGACATATTCTCATGGATCCCACCAGCTGGGCCTACACTGATTGGTCTAGGATGGGCATGCGATCTGTGTTAGGACAATTGGAGCACTTTCCAGGCTTTCAGACCTTGGGATGGGAGAAAGTGAGATGTAACACCTGATCATTTTGGTGGCTGTGTTTTCTGCCTTAAGAATAAAACATGCGCAGAGAGAAACAGAGATGAGAGATAAAAGAAAAGGGTCTGATTCCTTTTGGGTTCCTCATTCCATTTTCCCAGAAGCTATGTACCCCCAGACCTTCCTATAGTTACATAGGTTAAAAGGTCCCACTCTGTTTAAAGCTAGTTCAAATTGGAGTTCTGTCACTTGCAACCTGTATTTCTGTCTATTGCTGTCTAATAAATTACTATAAAACATAGTAGCTTAAGACAATATGCATTTATTATCTCTCACAGTTTCTGTGGGTCAGAGATTCAGGAGCTGCTTGTCTGGGTGGTCTTGACTTGGGGTTGGTTGGTTCATTCAGTGTTGGTTGGAGCTGCAGTCACCTGAAGGCTTGACTGCGACTGGAAGATCTTTCCAAAGTGACTCAGTCACATGGTGGTACATTGATACTGGCTGTTGGTAGGAGATTTCATGTCCTCTTCCTACAGACCTCTCCACCGAGCTGCTTGTGCTCTTATGACATGGTGAATGGCTTCTCCTAGAACAAGGAATCCAGGAGATCAAGGTGGAAGATGCAAATGTCTGTTATGACTTAGCCTTGAAAGTTACACACTGTCACTTCTTTAGTATTCTATTGTTGATATGGGTCAGCCATGATTCATTGTGGGAGGGGAATACACAAGGATGTGGATACCAAGAGATGAAGACTATTGGAGGCTATCTTGGAGGTTGGGTACAAAGGAACCAAAAGAGTGCTGACTGATACATTATGGTGGCAGATGTTTCCACCTCAAGGTTAGATTTTATTTCACATAGGTGTTGTGATCACTAAGGTAATCTATTTATTCTTAAGGTAATTGCCATTATTAATCACTTATCATCTTTTTGAATGTTAAATTCACATAATTTTCTTTCTTTTCATCACATACATTATATATATATATTATATATATATAATATATATATATATAATATATATGATTCATGAATAGAGGAGTTCCCTATTTGTCTAAATAGATTTTTCACTGGTTTAAGTTCCTTGCATGTGGGCAGGGAGGTGTGAGATGATGACTTGAAGAAATTGAGAATAAAGTGCCAAGATAGGCTTCTCTACTCTCCAAGTTCTGCCATCTTCCTAGTTAATAGGTGATATGGTTAAAGCAAAAGGAATGGAATATCTGGCTTCTAGTTCTGAATTTTCCACATATACTGTGTGACCTTGGTCACTTAACATTGATGAGTCTCTTTCCTCATGTTTGAGAAAGGGATCAACATTTTTATCTTATAGTGAGGTTATAAGGACTCTGTGACATAATGCTTTATAAACCATAAGACACTAGTTGTTGGTTCAGAAAAGTACCATGGTTGGCTTGAGAATCAGAAACTAGACTTGGTTCCTAGCTTTGCCCCCTCTGGGCCACCTGCTTCTATGATTAGTTATTTATTCTGTTTGACTTAAAGTTTCCTCCTCTGTAATACTGATTTAGTAATAATACTTCCAACTTCATGCAGATATAAAGTTCTGATAAAATGCTATCTGACTGTCAAAGATTGGTACATGGCTATTGTTATGATTATGTCTCTTGTGGAAAAGTTGGAACCAAATTTACTCTGCCCTTTATATCAAAGTCAACATGACCACGTAATTTATTTAATAAAACTGTAAGTGCATGACAGGTGTGAGCTGAGTGCCATGGATACCACAGCAACAAGACAGATGCCGTCCTTGTCTTCTTAGAGCTTAGAGCTTAGGGGAGACCCAACAAACAGGCAAGAAATTACAAAGCAGTGTGATGAATCGTATGGGTGGGCATGCAGGTGCTCTGGGAGCATGTGGGAAGAGTCCTAACTCAGACTTGAAGGGTCATGGCAGGCTTTCATGAGGAAGTAAGATCAGGAAAGACCTGAAAACTGAGTTGGAGTAAGTTAGGTTAAGGAAGGTAGGTGAGAATTTGGGGAAAGAGCGTTCCAGGTAGAGGAAAGAGACTTCATAAGGAATGAGAGGTAAGAGAACACACCGGATGGTCAGAAAATCATTCAGTATGGCTGAAGCCAAGAGGCAGAGGCAGGATAGTAACATGTGAGCTAGAGGATTAAAGAGACAGTGGATCATAAAGCCCTTCCTGGTCTCTGCCTTGGATTTCATCTTGAAGTCAGTGAAGGTTCCCTGAAGGATTCTAAGGCAGGAAAGAGACACAGTCAGATTTGCATTCTAGATAGATATTTCTCAGTGAGGCTGCTATTGGCATTTTGGGTGGAACAGTTCTCTGTTGTGCAGATCATTCCAGGTGTGGTTGGCAGATTAATGGCTCCTTAAAGATGTCCATGTTCAAATTCTTGGAAACTGTGACTCTGTTATGTTACATGGCAAAAGGGACTTTGCAAGACAGGACCTTAAAATGGGGAGGTTATCCTGATTTACTCAGAGTGGGTAGACTCGATTTAATCACACGGGCCCTTGAAAATGGAAGAGCAAAGCAGAAGTCAGAGAAAGACGCGGCAGAAGAGGAGGCAGGAAACACAAGGCATAAGAAGAATTCAACCTATCATTACCTGCTTTGAAGATGAAGGGGTCATGAGCCAAGTAATGTGGGAGACCCTAGAAGCTGAGAATAATCCCTGCTGAGAGCCAGCCAGGGAACTGGAGCCTCAGTCCTACAGTCCCATGAAACTGAATTCTGCCAACAGCATGACTGTGCTTGGACAGGGATTCTCCCACCTGGCCTCCAGGGCCCTACTGATCCTTTGACGTTAGCCCTTTAGACCTTTGTCAGACTTCTGACCTACAGAGCTGTGAGGTAATAAATGGGTATTTTTTTAAGCTGCTAAGTTTGTGGTATTTCGTTACTAGAGCAATAGGAGATGAATACATTAGGTATTTCAGTGTCCTTGGCTCCTGCCCCCTTAATGCCAGCATATCCCCCCCACCCCCATTATCACAACCCCCAAACACTCCCACATTTCCAAATGCCTGCTGCTGCTGAGGGCGGTACACCCCTGGCTGAGAACCACTGCCATGAGAATTAATAGGAAGAAGTTTGGATCAAAGGCAGAGGAACCAGTTAGAAGGTCATTGTGATATTTAAGCTGAGGAATGAAATGGCCTGAAGGAACATAGTGGGAACATTCATTGGAACAGAGAAAAGGGATGAATTTGAGAGATAATTAGGCAGAGTCAACAGGACTCATCAATGGTGGCTTGATTAACATTGGGGGTGAGCCATCTCCTCTGTCTTTATCCTCCTGTCCACCACCCTTCCACTCCCATCATCGTGGCACATCTAAAAGCAAACAGCATTTTTTCAGGAATGTGACTTCCCTTCCAGTGAGCAAGAGGACATGCTCTCAGAGCCGTCAGCACTTTGTATCAGGATCAGCCAGAAGAAGGGAAATGACAGCAGAGCTATTGCAAACCCCAAATGCCCGTTATGGCCAAAGGCACCCAGTTGGTGAAGCACAGTAATTGCCTGAACAATTTTCAGCCACTCCATGTTGCAATTGACGATAGGAAATGAGGAGAGATTTTATACCTCCCAAAAGAAGCAAGTCAGGCGATCCAAATGGCTGAAATGCAATTTGAACCAGGGCATTTGGTTAAGCCGACCAAACCCCTGTGTGCAGTTTGAAAGCATTTCGCTCTAGAGATTTTTATTTGTACTTTGGCCAAAAGGGCCTGTGCCCTCATCTGCACCTGTATAACCAACTCCGTGTGCTAGATCCCTTCTGTGTGAAATCATGAGTGTGGTTTCTGTTTGCCTGACTGGACCGTGACGAGGCAGGGCACGTAACATGCAACATGTAACAGGCCCATTTCAAACAACACATTTGTTCTCTCTCGAGGTGTCTCCAACCCTAATCTAGTTTATGCTGAGTTCCCTAGTCTAGTGACTGCGAGGACCACCACTGCATAATCAAGCCCTAGTCTTGGGAAGATGAACGCCACAGAGCGTATAACCAGTTACCCTAGACAAATTCAAGTGTCATGGGAACTTTTTAAAGTTGGCTCTAGGTAAGAAATGAAAATTCCCCTGGCATCTGCATTTTTCCTACATTCTTGAAAACAGCCACAGTGACATGAATGAACCATCAAGTCAAAAATAATGATTCAACATAATTAATAGGTCATGGCAGAGAATCTGAGTTTTTTGTGCTCTTTCAGGCATAGGGAATGATGAATCCTGCAGGCTTTCCTGGCATCAGCACTTTAGGTGAGGTGTTAAGTGTCTAATATTAACGCAAATTGGCAAATATGTAATTCACATGAAAGTTTCGCCTATCAAAGTCGAATTAAAATTGACCATACTCTCCCATCCTCAAGTAGAACTGAAATGGCTCATGGCATGGGGTAGTTTGGCTCTGGGTCTGATTAAGTAAAACATTTCCCCCTTTCAGCCTCTTGATCAAAGTCCATTTACATGGAGTCAGTTCTGTTTCTTAAAGACAAAGTTGTTTCATATTTCAATCCTTATAATAATGTCACATTTCAGTTTTAGCCCTAAAGTGGGAAAACCCAGGGCTGATGCTTTTGGTTGCATTCTACACTTAACCTTCCTTCAGAGTCATTTTTAGTTCCAAGAAACTGTCTTTGTTCTCTGCCCAGGTACGGAGGAAAAGCCAAGGAGAGAAAGCAGCCATCCCTGTCACACGTTCTTGGTGTCATTTTCCTGATGCTGACTACGTATCAGTATGTATGATTTTATAACTACAGCTATTTATTTGATCCTGGATAGGCAAATCGGCTTGGGAGCTGAAGGGATGTTTTATGTCAAGATGCTCTAACTTTGGTTGGCGATTATCTTCTGAATATTTAGGAATGGTGACAGCCATCTCTCCATTCTTGAATATATTTCTGGCTTTGTCAGAGCTTTAGTCCCAAAGAGGGAGGGAGAAGGCTCCTACATAAAACGAGACAGCTAATAAAAGTATAAAACTGGGATTTTTTTCTATAAAAGAAAATCCGTAAGTGACAAAATATCTCACCAAGTCATTTTTCCTCTCCAATGTCTTGCGTTGTGCATGTGTGGCACGTGCACACATTAAGTTTACAGATTCTATAAAGCAATTCATCCTGCTCTGAATCTAATGCCAGTAAGTTTTCAAGGAAGTCAGCAAAATGTAGCCCAGGAAGGAAAACCCTATTGTTTTTATTCAATCTGCTACTGAACTGTGACTAAATCATTTACTCTTCACATTTTATTTTTAATTTTGTGGTATTTTCCCCCTCCCCCAAATGAGGTCGAGTCCTAAATCCTCGTACCGTAACATCCCAGCTATACAGTCATATAAGAGGTTTGTTTCAGTAAAAATGATTACTGGTATCTATAATAGAATTGTAATAACTCAATACTATTTTACAAATTTTTGATTCGCTCTGCATTTTTTATTTGACAGCTTGCCAAAATCTAGTTTATTTTTTTGTTTTTTTTTTGCGGTACACGGGCCTCTCACTGTTGTGGCCTCTCCCGTTGCAGAGCACAGGCTCTGGACACGCAGGCTCAGCGGCCATGGCTCACGGGCCCAGCCCATGATCCCAGCTGCATGTGGGATCTTCCCGGACCAGGGCACGAACCCGTGTCCCCTGCATCAGCAGGCGGACTCTCAACCACTGTGCCACCAGGGAAACCCCAAAATCTAGTTTTTATCTGATCATCTTTGCATCGATAATACATGAGGCTGAGACCTTCTGAAAAGAGGATACTTTATTTTCCCCTCTCATCGAATGCTTTGCTTTTGCAGCAAAAATATTGATTTGGATTTAATAATCTATAGTCCTTTTGGTTTGATCACACTTAGCAGGAAACCCCAGAAAGAGCCATGGCCACATATCCGCCAACATGGAATCAATTTCTCCTCTCTAATAAATGGAATCCTTGAGCACCTGATCCATACTATTGCTTGTTATGTGTAATTAATGAAAGGTTTGACAACAGTAGAGTTTTGAATGGCTCTGGGTTTCCCTATTCAGATCCTCTCAACCAAAAAATAACAATCAACAAAACCTATGCCATAGAAAGATGATGTTTCTGATTATAATTTTTTGTCACCTCCATCAACATACATTTTGTCACACTTTGCTCTTAAGCGATCGCAGCGGTGCTGCTGATCTCAGCCTGCTCTCGCTCCCAGCTGTTCACGCTCAAGACCATTGTGAGTAACAGGTCCATCCCATCAGTTGCCTCTGGGATTGTTATATATAATCAGCATCACGAAAAGAAACTGACTAGGAACTGGGAGCGCCCTCCAACAACGCATCTTCATCCATTGTCTTATTTTCCATCTGTAAGGAATGCAACCAAGGACATCTTTTAGAATTCAGCATTCCTGTCTCAAATAAATGACAAAAGCTGGTGAGTAAGAGAATCGCTAACCCAGTGGTTGTTAAGCAATTAAATCAGAATCTCTGGGGGTATGACATGGGCATTGGTATTTTTAAAAGCTTCCTTGGTCATTTTTATGTGACTTAGTGCTCTACCCTGAAACTTCGCTGCTCTCGATGCAGCTGGGTGCCACCTTCATGGGCTTATTAGAATTGCAGAAATTTACTGAATCAGGTCAGTTCTACTGAACACACTCTGCTGAATCATAATCTGCATATTAGCAAAATCTCCCCAGTGATCTGTAGACACATTAAAGTTTGAGAAACATTGGCCTAAACCTGTTATAAGAAACATCCCCAAGTTAGCAAGCCAATTACTAAACAGAATGGCAGCTTTCAGTGTTTCTAGAGGAAGGGGGGCAGCGGTGGGCTCTGTTGTCAGGCAGCCCTGGGTTTGTACCCTGGTTATCCCAGTTACTAGCTGTGTGACTTCGGGTCAGTCTCTCTAAACTTCAGTTTGCTCATCTGTAATGATACTAATGATAGTACCCACCTCCATAGGATTATTGTGAAGATGAATCGAAATATCGCCTGCAAAGTGCTTAAGACCATGCCAGATGCATTGTTAAGCAAGCGGTGTGTTTTAGTAGTTAATACTAATATTAATAATAAGGCTGTATTCTTCAGAGACCTCTACAATTGCTCAATTGCTCTGTATTGTCTAAATATAGGTAATAATTCTTTTAAAATTTATCTATTTACCCTTAAAGCCAACTGAAGCTCTTATGGAAGTTGGCCCTAAGGTCTACCCTTGCACTTTAAGCTTACACTTGATCCCATTCATCATTTACAAGAGGGACAACAGGAAGGTCAATGGATGCTTAGAAAAATGGTGCAGTGGTGAGATCAACCAGAATGTCTTTCCTAGCACCTGAGCCTTGGTGACTTAAGCTTAATTTTCTCTGGAAGCCACACCATTGTGTGTAAAAAGACTTACAAAGCCGGCTTCCGTGTGAGGCTAACTCTGTTCACCTAAATTTGGCCTTATTTGGAAAGCTTTCTTGGCTCTCTCCCACCAAATCCAAACAGGGACGGGAGATTTTATTAAAATGACTTGGGACCAGCCTGCTCTGTACTCTGAACCATTGAAGGGAGCCAAAAATGTCCCCTGGTGTCCATAGAAACATTGTTCTTATTTTTCAAAATTAATCCAGCTGAATTTGCAAGGCTGCCTCACCTCCATCAGAGCTGCAGACGGCCAGGACAAAGAGCTGTTTTGATGTTCCCAGCTGGGAACCTTGCCCTCAGCAAATACAGTTGATATAAATAAATGGTCTCTTGCCTGCCTACATTCATGCCCATCTGTTTGGAGGGCATGGTGCCCAATCAAAAGTTGCCTAGATGCTCACCATGGGCACCAGTGCCAAGGAAGGATGATTTCGTGGCAGCCTGCCTAATGCTGTGAGTGCCATCTTTTCAGTCGTGGGTTCTCATCCTGGACCAGAACGGGAGCACTGGCATTGCATGTCTCCTTACTCTTGATCACACCTGTTGACAAGGCAGTGCCAAACCAAAAGAAGAGAGAAAGAAGGAAAACTGCTGTGTAGGAGCATCTTTGGGCTCCCAGGGCCTGGTGGGCCCACTAAGACAGATTCTAATTAAGTAGAGAAAAATCTCTGCCCATGGATATTCTGATGGGGCACAAGATTGGCAAGTCAGACTTTGCTTGGCTTTATTGCAGGGGCAGAGGGCAAGCTGTTCCCAGCTGGCAACTCTGCCACTATCTAATACAGGAAACATAATAGAACACTGGTCTTTGATGACGTCAGGAGCCAGCTAAACCAGGAGGAATGAATCAGGCTCAACCCAGCCCACTATCCCCTAGCTCCCAATTTTCACCCATCCACTGGAAGCAATAGGCCTGACGAGTACAAGGCACAGGATGTAAAAACCCAGGAGCTGATTTTGTTTTGCACTGGCTGAGCTTGAGGCAGAAAATGAAGTCAGTCAGGAGAAAGCATGATGTGTGGACATTTTTATGCTGATAAAGGGTGAGTAAATTCCCTCCGAGTTTGTTAAACACAATCAGAAATAAATTTACGTACTTGGTCACCAGGGGATCACAGAGGGGTCCAGGAGAGGATCCTCACAGCAAAAGTTAGGAAATTATTCATCCCTGTGGACTTCTCAAGGGCTAAACACAGTGGTTCTCAGCCATGGAATACTGAGATGATAGGGAGTGAGCAATCTTTATTGATGAGAAGTTCAAGTGTGCTACCTTGTCCTGTGGAAGGAAAATAGGTTGAGAAACAGCTGCCTGAAAGACTCAAAACAACATGCCCTGTTTACACTTAAAAGCACATTTGTTAGTCCAAGATTTGGTTTTGTTCCTAAGTTTGCATTGTTTCATTGAATTCTCAATATTCTATCAATTAGATTTGTGGTTAATCATTGTGGTAGGCTGGACAATGGTCCTCCGAGATGTCCACGTGCTAATCCCCAGAACCTGGGAATATGCTACCTGATAGGGCAAAAGGGATCTTGCAGGTGTGATTAAGTTAAGCATCTTGAGGTGTGGGAGATTATCCTGGATTATCTGGGTGGGCCTGATGTAATCATAAGGGTCCTATCAGAGCAGGAGGCTGTGTGATGAAGGCTGAAGAGATTGGGTGCTGTGTTGAAGATGGAAAAAGTGTCCTGAAGCGAAGAAATACAAGGAGCCATCAGTAGCTTAAAGAAAACAAGAAAACCAGTTCTCTCCTCAGAGCTTCCAGAAGGAACCAGCCCTGTAGACCACTTGACTGTAGCCCAGTGAGACTGATTTTGGAGTTCTTAGAATAAATATATCTTGCTGTAAGCAGCTAAGTTTGTGGTAATTTGTGAAGCAGGAATAGGAAACTGAGACAGTCCTTATCCTTATGTAGCAGACTCAGGGTGGCCCAAGAAGGGAGGCTCCCAGGCTGTACAAAGCTTAGAGAAACGCAGTCCATTTGCTGCTCTGATAGAACCAACTAACTGAGTTTGTTGTTTTCCCCAACAACTCACTGGCTTTTTGTTTTTTCCCTCTTGAACACAAAGATCATAGTCAAATCCAATGTTCTTGTTTTTGTGTTTTCTTTTTGGCATTGTACAAGTCTAAGTTTAAAAGAAACAGTTCTCTATCAGGTGTCAGGTCACACCCTTAAACTTTCAGCGTTTGGCCTACCAGGACAGAATACCATCCAAATTGACCTAAGTATCGGTAACACCAATTCCAATCACAGGCATTCATTTCCCAAAGGCAGGGAACAATTTAGGAGCAGCAATTCAGATTTATGTTCAATTAATATTACTATATCCCTACTAAGTGCCAGGCACTGGGAATGACATGTTTGACGTGTATAATATCTCCTTAAGCAGCACAGTGGGTAAACTGAAAAGTTCCTGGACACACATGCAACACGAAGTAGCTGTTATTGTCAGAAGTTA